CTCCAATTCCCATCCAAGAACCTTCCAGAACCCCAAACCCCACCCAAGAACCTTCCAGAACCCCAAATCCCACCCAAGAACCTTCCAGAACCCCAAACCCCCTCCAAACCCCACCCAAGAACCTTCCAGAACCCCAAATCCCACCCAAGAACCTTCCAGAACCCCAAACCCCACCCAAGAACCTTCCAGAACCTTCACTGACCCCTTTTTCCCGGGAATTCCCAGCTTTCCTACGGCTCCAGCTCGCCAGCCCTTTCCAACCGGCAGCGATTCCCGACGTTTTTCCGGACTCATCCGTCGGCCACGCTCCACAACCCCACGCGGGTTCAGCTCTTCAAGAAGTGGGGCTGGACCAAGATCGCCACCATCCAGCAGACCACGGAGGTCTTCACCTCGGTAGGGATTCCCGGCGGGGAAAAAAATCCCGGAATTCCGGGGGAATTCTGGGAAAAATTCCGGTGGAATTCTGGGAAAAATTCCAGTGGAATTCTGGGAAAAATTCCGGTGGAATTCTGGGAAAGATTCTGTTGGAGTTGTGTAAAAAAATTGTGTTGGAGTTCCCAAAAAATTCTGGTGGAATTCCCAAAATTGTGTTGGAATTCCTCAAAAAATTCCATCAGAATTTCCAAAAAATTCCATCAGAATTCCCAAAAAATTCCATTGGAATTCTCAAAAAATTCCATCAGAATTCTCAAACTCCATTTTTGGTGTCTCCAAACCCATTTTTGGTCTCCTCAAACCCATTTTTGGTGTCTCCAAACCCATTTTTGGTGTCTCCAACCCCATTTTTGGTCTCCTCAACACCATTTTTGGTGTCTCCAAACTCCATTTTTGGTGTCTCCAACCCCATTTTTGGTGTCTCCAAACTCCATTTTTGGTGTCTTCAAACCCCATTTTTGGTGTCTCCAAACTCCATTTTTGGTGTCCTCAAACTCCATTTTTGGTGTCTTCAAACCCCATTTTTGGTCTCCTCAACCCCATTTTTGGTCCTCACCAGACCCTGGATGACCTCGACCAGCGGGTGAAGGAGGCCGGCTTGGAGATCACCTTCCGCCAGAGCTTCTTCTCCGACCCGGCCGCGCCCGTCCGGAACCTCAAGGTGAGACCTCAACCCCCACCTTGAGGTCCAACCCCACCCATGGGACCACCCTGAGGTCCAACCCCACCCATGGGACCACCCTGAGGTCCAACCCCACCTTCAGGACCACCCCGAGGTCCAACCCCACCCTCAAACCCCTCCCCAACCATGGTGGACCCCCAAAAATCCATCGTGGTCGACCAGGAACGGCCAAAGCGGTGGGAGATGGACATGTAGTTATGCAAATGAGGTGGGCGTGGCTTAACGAGCCGTCCAATCCCACAGCGCCAGGACGCCCGGATCATCGTGGGGCTCTTCTATGAGACCGAGGCGAGGAAAGTCTTCTGTGAGGTGGGAACGGTGGGAAGTGATGGATCATGGATGGATGGAGATGATGGTGATGGTGATGATGATGATGATGATGGTGATGGATCAATGATGGATCAGTGGTGGGAATTGATGGATCATGGATGGAGATGGATGGAGATGATGATGGTGATGGACCAATGATGAATCAATGGTGGGAATTGATGGATCATGGATGGATGGAGATGGATGGAGATGATGACGATGGTGATGGATCAATGATGATGGATCAATAATGGATCAATGGTGGGAATTGATGGATCATGGATGGATGAATGGATGGAGATGAGGATGATGGTGATGGATCAATGATGATGGATCAATGATGGATCAGTGGTGGGAACTGATGGATCATGGATGGATGGAGATGGATGGAGATGATGGATCAATAATGGATCAATGGTGGGAATTGATGGATCATGGATGGATGAAGATGGATGGAGATGATGATGATGGTGATGGATCAATGATGATGGATCAATAATGGATCAATGGTGGGAATTGGTGGATCATGGATGGATGGAGATGGATGGAGATGGATGGAGATGATGATGGTGATGGACCAATGATGGATCAATGGGGGAACTGAGATGGATCAATGGTGGGAATTGATGGATCATGGATGGACATGGATGATGATGATGATGATGATGATGATAACGACGATGATGATGATGACGATGATGATGGATCAATGATGATGGATCAATAATGGAAATCAATGGATCATGGATGGAGATGGATGATGGATTCTGATAATGGATGATGATGATGGATCATGGATGGATGGAGACGGATGATGATGGAGATGATGAAGATGATGGATCAATGATGATGGATGATGATGGATCAATGATGATGGATCAGTGGTGGGAATTGATGGATCATGGATGGACATGGATGGTGATGATAACAATGATGATGATGATGATGATGATGATGATGATGATGATGATGATGGATCAATGATGATGGATCAATACTGATGGACCAACCGTGAAGACAGACTGACAGATTCCGATGACGGATCTTGGATCTCCCCACCCTTCCAGGTCTACAAGGAGAAGCTCTACGGCAAGAAGTACGTCTGGTTCCTGATTGGCTGGTACGCCGACAACTGGTTCCGCATCAAGGACCCGGCCATCAACTGCACCGAGGCCGAGATGGCCGAGGCCGTTGAAGGCCACGTCACCACGGAGATCGTCATGCTCAACCCTGAGAACACCCGCAGCATCTCCAACATGGTACTGGGAGCACTGGGAGAACTGGGAGGGGTCAGCTGAGACAAGCGTTGGGTCAACGTTGGGTGGTGGCCAAGCCAGCTGTTGGGTCAACATTGGGTGGTCTCCAACCCAACCTTGGGTGGTCTCCAGCCCAGCCTTGGGTGGTCTACAACCTCACTTTGAGTCAACCTTGGGTGGTCTCCAACCCAACCTTGGGTGGTCTACAACCTCACTTTGGGTGAACTTTGGGTGTTCTCCAACCCAAACCTTGGGTCAACTTTGGGTCAATTTTGGGTCAGCCTTGAGTGGTCTGAAACCCAACTTTGGGTCAACTTTGGGTGGTGTCCAACCCAACTTTTGGTCAACCTTGGGTGGTCTACAACTCAAAACTTGGGTCAACTTTGGGTGTTCACAAACCAAACTTTGGGTCAATTTTGGGTCAACTTTGGGTCAACCTTGGGTCAACCTTGGGTGTTCTTCAACCGAACTTTGGGTCAACCTTGGGTGGTCTCCAACCCAACCACTGGGTCAATGTTGGGTGTTCTCCAACCCAACTTTGGGTCAACCTTGGGTGGTCTCCAACCCAACTTTGGGTCAATTCTTGGTCAACCTTGGGTGGTCTCCAACCCAACTTTGGGTCAACTTTGGGTGGTCTACAACCTCACTTTGGGTCAACCTTGGGTGGTCTACAACTCAAAACTTGGGTCAACTTTGGGTGTTCACAAACCCAACTTTGGGTCAACTTTGGGTCAACTTTGGGTCAACCTTGGGTCAACCTTGGGTGTTCTCCAACCCAACTTTGGGTCAACCTTGGGTGGTCTCCAACCCAACTTTGGGTCAACCTTGGGTCAATTTTGGGTCAACCTTGGGTGGTCTCCAACCCAACCACTGGGTGACCGTTGGGTGTTGTCCACCAGACGTCCCAAGAGTTCATCGAGAAGCTCCAGAAGAGGCTGGGGAAGAACCCGGAGGAGACCGGGGGGTTCCAGGAGGCGCCTCTGGCCTACGACGCCATCTGGGCCTTGGCCTTGGCCCTCAACAAGACGTCCCAAGAGTTGGTCAAGAAGGGTTTGAGGTTGGAGGACTTCAACTACAACAACAAGAACATCACCGACGAGATCTACCGGGCCCTCAACTCCTCGGCCTTCGAGGGCGTCTCGGTGGGTGGACATTGTCACCAGGATCCAGCTGTGGGTGGAGGGGACATCAAAGGTGTCACCAGAATCCAGCTGTGGATGGAGGGGACGTCAAAGGTGACACCAAAATTGGTCTTTGGGTGGAGGTGACACCAAAAGTCTCACCAGGATTTGTCCTTGGGTGGAGGTGACATCAAAGGTGTCACCAGGATCCAGCTGTGGGTGGAGGTGACATCAAAAGTGACACCAGAATTTGTCCTTGGGTGGAGGTGACCTCAAGGGTGGCCCCAAAAGTCATTTTTGGGTGGAGGTGACATCAAAGGTGTCACCAAATCCAGCTGTGGGTGGAGGGGACGTCAAAGGTGACACCAAAATTGGTCTTTGGGTGGAGGTGACACCAAAAGTGTCACCAGGATTTGTCCTTGGGTGGAGGTGACATCAAAGGTGGCCCCAAAAGTCATTTTTGGGTGGAGGTGACATCAAAGGTGTCACCAGGATCCAGCTGTGGGTGGAGGGGACATTGAGGTGTCACCAAGAGTCACCTGTGGGTGGAGGTGACACCAAGGGTGTCCCCAATGCCGTCCCCGTGTCCCCACCAGGGTCACGTGGTGTTCGACGCCAGCGGTTCCCGCATGGCCTGGACCCTCATCGAGCAGCTCCAAGGTGAGGGGACAGCGGGGGACAGTGGGGGACAATGGTGGGTGATGCTGAGGGACCTTCAGGTGACATTGAGGAACCTTTGGGTGACATTCAAGGACCTTCGGGTGACACCAACCCCCTCTGGCTCCACCACCCATGGATGTCCTCAAGTTCCACCTGTGCCACCCCCTGGTGTCACCGGTCCCCTGTCACCTGTCCATTGTCACCTGTTCCGGTGTCACCTGTCCTGGTGTCCCTAAGGTGTCACCTGTCCATTGTCACCTGTCCATTGTCACCTGTGCCGGTGTCACCTGTTCCGGTGTCATGTCTCCATTGTCACCTGTCCATTGTCACCTGTCCTGGTGTCACCTGTCCTGGTGTCCCCAAGGTGTCACCTGTCCATTGTCACCTGTGCCGGTGTCACCTGTCCTGGTGTCCCCAAGGTGTCACCTGTGCCGGTGTCCCCTGTGCTGGTGTCACCTCTCCATTGTCACCTGTGCCGGTGTCACCTGTCCCGGTGTCACCTGTCCTGGTGTCCCCAAGGTGTCACCTGTGCCATTGTCACCTGTCCATTGTCACCTATTCCGGTGTCACCTGTCCTGGTGTCATGTCTCCATTGTCACCTGTCCATTGTCACCTGTCCTGGTGTCCCCAGGGTGTCACCTGTGCCATTTTCACCTGTCCATTGTCACCTATTCCGGTGTCACCTGTGCCATTGTCACCTGTCCATTGTCACCTATTCCGGTGTCCCCTGTGCCGGTGTCACCTGTGCCGGTGTCACCTGTGCCATTGTCACCTGTCCATTGTCACCTATTCCAGTGTCACCTGTCCATTGTCACCTGTCCCTTGTCACCTGAGCCGGTGTCACTTGTCCTGGTGTCCCCAAGGTGTCACCTGTCCACTGTCACCTGTCCATTGTCACCTGTGCCGGTGTCACCTGTGCCATTGTCACCTGTCCCTTGTCACCTGTCCCGGTGTCCCCTGTGCCGGTGTCACCTGTTCCGGTGTCACCTGTGCCGGTGTCACCTGTCCCTTGTCACCCGGTGCCGCAGGTGGGGTGTACAAGAAGATCGGGTACTACGACAGCACCAAGGACAACCTGTCCTGGTACGACAGCACCAAGGACAACCTGTCCTGGTACAACAACGACAAATGGATCGGTGAGAAACAGCCGGAAAGACAACGGCGGGAGAAAAAATCGGGAAAAACAATGGGAAAAACAACAATGGGAAAAACAATGGGAAAATTGGGAAAAAATGGGAAAAACAATGGGAAAAACAATGGGAAAAACAACAGCGGGAAAAACAACAGCGGGAAAAACAATGGGAAAAACAATGGGAAAAACAATGGGAAAAATTACAATGGGAAAAATTACAATGGGAAAAATAACAATGGGAAAAAATGGGAAAAACAATGGGAAAAACAACAGTGGGAAAAACAATGGGAAAAACAATGGGAAAAACGGGAAAAAATGGGAAAAACAATGGGAAAAACAACAATGGGAAAAAATGGGAAAAACAATGGAAAAAACAAAAACGGGAAAAACAATTGGAAAAACAATGGGAAAATTGGGAAAAAATGGGTAAAAACAATGGGAAAAAACAACAGCCGGAAAAACAACGTTGGGAAAAACAACAGTGGGAAAATCGGGAAAAACAACGGGAAAAACTACGGGAAAAACAAACAATGGGAAAAACAACAACGGGAAAATCGGGAAAAACAACAGCGGGAAAAAAATGGGAAAAACAATGGGAAAATTGGGAAAAAATGGGTAAAAACAATGGGAAAAAACAACAGCGGGAAAAACAACAGTAGGAAAAACAACAAACAGGAAAATGGGAAAAATGGGGAAAAACAACGGGAAAAAAGGGGAAAATGGGAAAAACAACAATGGGAAAAATAACAGGGAAAAACAATGGGGAAAAGGGAAAAATGGGAAAAAACAATGGGAAAAACAACAACGGGAACAACAACAGGAAAACCGGGAAAAACAACAGGGAAAAAGGGAAAAATGGGAAAAAACAATGGGAAAATGGGAAAAAATGGGGGGAAAAATGGGAAAAATGGGAAAATCTGGGAAAAATGGGGAAAAATGGGGAAAAATTGGGAAAAACTGGGAAAAACTGGGAAAAACTGGGGGAAAATTGGGAAAATCTGGGAAAAAATGGGGAAAAATGGGAAAAACTGGGAAAAAATGGGAAAAACTGGGAAAAACTGGGAAAAACTGGGGGAAAATTGGGAAAAACTGGGAAAAACTGGGAAAAACTGGGAAAAAAAATGGGAAAAACTTGGAAAAAATGGGAAAAAATTGGCGAAACTGGGAAAAATGGGAAAAAATGGGGGGAAACTGGAAAAAACGGGGGAGGGGGAATAAAAAGCAAATTAAAAACGGGGAAAATATGGAAAAAATGAGGAAAAAATGAGGAAAAACGCTGAAAATCCTCCCGGATTTTCCCAAATTCCTGAATTTTTTTTTGGGATTCGTCCCGATTTTTGTGCCCAGGGGGGTCCCCTCCGGCCGATTACACCAAGGTGATCACAACGTTCCGGTTCCTTTCCCAAAAATTGTTCATTTCCGTCTCGGTGTTGGCGTCGTTGGGAATCGTCCTGGCCGTCGTTTGTTTGGCTTTCAACATCTACAACGGGCACGTGAGGTGGGGAAAATTCCCGAATTCCCAAGAATTCCCAAGAATTCCCATCAGATTCCCAAAAATTCCGGGGATTTGGGGTGTTT